TTTCACAATTTGAAAGTTGATGTATATGAACAAAATGAGGACGGATCCCATGGAATTATGCTTTTGTTTCCTTTTTTTTTTTTTTTTTAAATAAGAATTTGCATACCATACTATTAAGATGATATTTTTTATTTCTAAAGTCCCATCACCCTGATGGAGTCCACTCTCCATCAGTTTAAATAGCAGTTGTATCTCAATGTTGGGAAATGACACGTCACTGGCTTAATTTAGAGTTTCAGCATGTTATTCTGTTGGCTTGGTTTCTTTGACCCCTTTTCCATCGGTTTTCACCGCCCTCCTTTGGCAGATCCTGATCATGTTGTCATTGTCATGTAAGTAAATCCCTCATTCCCTGCCATTTTGCATAGTGTCATTGACTTACACCACCATTTATTTTTCTTTTTGTTGATCAGAACTGCCCGTGGTACAATGAATAATTGCATAGCTGACATTATGTGTGAATATTAACACATTGTTTGCATACATAGGAAAGGGAACGCAGATCACCTGCCCTCAATCTCCACATGTCTGCGTTCCCTGAGAACAGTAGCAGTGCCCTGCAAGTCTACTGCCACCAGGAAGGAGTCAAGGTGAATGCACTAGTAAAAAACAAACAAACTAGAACCTTTCTTCTAAATGCTTTCTTGAGTACCTGCACAGTTAATATAACAGCCTTGATGATTTAGTTTGGGGGTTTTTGCAGGATGTAATCATTCCTGAACTGATGAAGAAGTTGGATATTCTGGGAGATAATGGGGTGAGTTCGAACCCACTGTAAAAAAATCACTTTAGTCTTAAAATTTCTAATGAGTCGTTGTCAATGTTGTATTTTCTAAAGAATCTCAGAAATGAAGAGCAGGTGGCTGTGATCCAAGCAGGGACTGTGATCTCACTCTGTGAAAAGGTGAGTGGAAAGTTTCTCTTTTCTGACACACAGTGGACAAACATTGCTATAACACCCTGTTACCACAGCAAAGCCATTTCATTCAAGCCTGCATATTTGATATAGCAAGGATTTAATGCTGGATGCCCTCACTGATGCAACCCTCCCCGTTTATCCAGGCATGGGGCTGGCACTAAGAGTACATTGGTTTGTGCCACACCCCTTGGCTGGGTTAAACATCCCGAGCAATGGACAGTGCACATGGTGAAGGAGAGAGTGCAGATAGGGTGTTGTGGGTGGAGTTGAGTGTCAGGGGTGATTTGTGAGAGAAGAATAGCAGCAAGAGTAAAACAGATTGTTGTGAGCTCTGCTATGATGTATGATTGGAAGACACCGTAAGAGTGGCAAACTTGAGTTGGTTTGGACATGTGCAGATTGATATATTGGACAAAAGGATGATAAAGATCGAGCTGCCAGGCACGAAATAAATGAGAATGACCACATAGAAGAGTCATGGAGGTGGTAAAGGAGGATATGCAGAAGCTCAGTGCAACAGAAGAAGATGCTAGAGAAGGGGTGAAAGAGGCAAAAGAAGAAGATAAAGACGGATTTCATTTAACTCATTTTTTGTTTAATTTAGATTAATCTTATAGAAGCAAAATGTGAATCCCACACCTTTCTGTGTCTTCATCTGCAGTGGTTGAAGCAGATAGACAGCACTGAGGCTGCCCTCACGCAGAAGATGATCGACTTGGAAAATGACAAGGTGAGAAAGTTATCTACAAATGCATAAAATTCAGCTTTCTACAACATATTCAAAGCAACGTGTTAATATTATAGTCTCCTGTTGTTATTATGTCAAAGAACTTATCAAGACTAATACGTAATTATAACTATACTACCATGTACAACAAGCTACCTTCTACCAAGCCCTGCATTATAGATTATAACATCTTATTGCAGGAGCTGTTTAGTAAGCAGAAAGGATTCCTTGAGGAGGAGTTGGACTACAGGAAGCAGGCCTTGGACCAAGCCTACATGGTACGAAGCTTAGAGCAATAATACACAGCGTGCTTTTACCTGCATATGAACACAGACATATCTACTGCTTACCATTGTGTATATTTTTACTTATAATGGCTGATGATAAAGTAATTCAGGAATGCAGGGGTGCAGCATTATCATTTCAGCATGAGATAAACATCTAGGACCCTGTTAACCATCACAAATGCAACATGCTCCATCAAGGTAAAATTTGCTACATTGTGTTGGGATACTGCATCTTTTACCACTGAAGTCTAAATTATTTTAATAATCTTAGCCACTCAGTTGGCCGGGATAAGTGGCCACTTGTTTATGACCTAAACCTCGATCAGATTTACTCTCTCTTGATTTGAGAAAGTATGATATGATTCATTTATGAATATCCTATTTAAAGTTGCTCAGGAGAAAGTTAAAAGAGTGAGTTTAATAATAAGGTTTTAATTATATATTTTTAAAGCATGAATCTTAAAGCATTCTCCACTTCCACTGATTTAACTAGACTGTAGCCAGATAACAGAAGTTAACACTTAGATCATTCGCCATATAATTCTAACCATTTTACTTGGTCAGTTTTGGTGTTGGTTTGTGTTTATAGTCCCACCTGATATTGTGTTGGGCTGATCTTGGTTCTTACTTGGAATTTGTTGTTTGAACAATGTGTAAAGAAAAGCACAGTTTGTGTTGTTAACCAAATCAAGTGACCATGTAAAAACCAAGGTTGAATAGCCCTCAATGTAAAGTGGAAAAGTGTTCCCCATATCTGCCATGGTCACAGTGTTGTGTGTATGTGTCTGTGTGTTTGTGTGCATATGTGTATTCCCTTGTTTGTGCTTGTGCATGCTTGTGTGTGTTCCTGCATGTGCATGTGCACGTCCGTGTGTGTGTGTGTGTGGGTGTATACATGTATGTGTGTATATGTGGCTGGCTGTGCAGAGGATCGAGGAGTTGGAGGCCACGCTGTATAGCGCTCTGCAGCAGGAGCAGCCGGCATGCCAGGCGGTGGCTGAGTCGCTGACAGACAGGCAGAGGGAGGAGCTGAGGCTAGCCGTGGACAAGCTGCGGCGTCAGATTCTCCGGCAGAGCCGGCAGTATGACAGTCAAATCTTACAGGAGCGCATGGAGCTCCTACAGCAGGCCCAGCAGGTAAGGCTCAAAACAAACCCAGTCAGGTTGTTGAGTCCTGCCCTCCCTGAATCTGACCCCTGGTACCTGTCTGGAACTTTTAACCCCACCAGATCTCTGGTGCTTTGAAAAAGATGCAGTATCCCTGTACGTGCTACCTGTAACTCTATCTGTAAGTGCATATGTAAAAGTGGGTGAGTGGAAAGATGAGACAGAATGACCTTGGATTTGTGTGAGTGTTTGTGTGTTTCATTGTGATCTGAATACCCTGACACCTTCAGTATCCCTCCACTCAGCAGCCCTTTCGATACTTTACACCCATGGCTTTTGGCATTGTGTTATCCATTGACTACATGACACTACATGTACTCTAACTCACTAACAAAATATCCTCTAACCGTACTTACTGCACATTTTTAATGTATCTACTAATTAATATGCTCAAACTACTGAACCGATTAGAAATCAACATGTTTGCAGGTCCGAGAAATGCATCTGATTTAATTTATGATATATTTTATAATAATAACTCTGAGAATTATGCTCACTTAAAAAGTCCCCACAGTGTGGCTTTTATTAACACTCGTTCCAATTTCTCTGTAGTTAAGAAGTGATATTTAACTGGAGCATTCACCTCAACCTCAATTTGATTTGCTGCACAGGATATTAACTTCAAAATGTCATGTATTTTGTTTTAAAATATGCCTGCCTGCCTCAGTTGTATTTATGTACTGTATAGTGAGCACTCACAGTGGAAAGCTATTTAAACTAATATGTTAGGAACAAAGAACCAAGTCACTGATGAAGCCACTCAGCTTTTAAGTCTCAAACAGTGTCACTGTTAAATCTGCTCTTCAGTTGCCATGGCAGCTCATTCCAACAGCTGCCATGGAGACAGTATGGCATGATGGGAAAGTCAGAAGACTATTTGGAGTGTCTGCAGGAATAGATTGATAGCAGCCTAACTTAACTGTTGAACCATGTGTGAAATAAATAAAGAAATGAAATGAAATGTTGTTGCACCTGAGGAAATGATTGTGTCAGAATCAATCAGATGTGTTTCGCGTGGCCACGAGCTAACCACTTCTGTCTTTTTGTTGCAGAGAATAAGAGAGCTGGAGGACAGGATTGACTTGCAAAAGAGACAAATAAAGGAAATAGAGGAAAAGGTACACACTCAAATTTGACTTGTTTTTTATTAGTGCAAGGTATCAATGACATCTTCTGTGCGGTGGTGTTTTCTAAACTTTTTGTCACTTTTTTCTTCTCTCTCTTTCCTCACCTGTTGATTAAACCTCTTGTGTTCCTTTAGTTTTTGTTCCTCTTTTTATTTTTCTCTTTAGCATTTATTCTTTGGCCTTAATGAAAATGCCCATGGACCTACATCAGGTAGAAGTAACTGTATAATACTAGAATTCGGCACAGTTTTGATGCCTGCCAATAATTCTTAGGAAAGAGTTCAAATTTTCTTTTCTTTTTCTTAGGTGTTAAGGTGCTGTGGTGGCGAGCGAAGATGAGATAAAACCTAATTGTTTTTTATGCATTTGTAGACAGTTCAACTAAACCTTATGGCCTTTTTGATAAATGTGCACTTTTGCAGAAGACTGGAATGCAAACATATTTGAAAATTTAATAAATAACCAGATATACATGAGAAGAAAGTGAGATTTATTTATAAGTAACATCTGTTATAGTGATCCCTGGACCTGGAACATAAAACCCCAACTCCTCTGTAAAGCAAACACTTTGATTTAACGAGGGAAAAATCTGAATCAGACGATTTACAAACGCAAGAAGAGCCACAGCCTCAGCTGAAGGAATGCCAAGCAGGACAATGGAAGGGGACAAATGGAGAGAGGAGAAGAAGAATGAAAGCACAAGGCTGACTGACAGGGTGAACAAGCTGAGCGCCAACTGGATATGGAGGATTTTGGCAAAGTCCAACGTCTGTGCCGTTTCTAAGGAAACAGCAGTGCGTCTAAGTTCGCTGAGCAGGAGCTGAACTATTTGGAGGTTTCTTGACGCACTGAAAAGGAACGAACGGTGAAAACGCAAAAACAGGTTTGTTGTTTCACTTCACCTTTCAGAAATACTCCTTTGCAAATTTGTCACCATCAAAGGATGGCTTCGATTAAGGTTTTGTGACTTTGTCTATTTTTAGATTACAAGAAATCTGTAAATGATTGAATTTCTAATAACACTACCACTGATTTATGTAATTGCACTGTTACACATTTGCCACACTTGATTGCCAGAAATCTCAAAAACCTTTTCGTGAATAGTTTCAAGTAGGAACTCTTTTTTCAGCTAAACTAATACACTGCCAGGTGGAAGTGGCATGCAAATAGCTACCATAACGGTTCAGCTGAGTGGGACACCGTTAATGCTTACATCCTGTCACGGTGCTATAAGCAGACACCTCGTGTCACTGGTAGTTGCATGCATCTTTCTGCACCTCCTTTTTGGTATTAAGGAAACAGTCTTTCAATATGAATCTGGTTTGTGGATGTCTTTTTAGCATTGCAATCATGATTTCTGCAAAAGAGATATTTAGCAAATGTACTTTTTTTTTACCACAAAACCTCTGTTTCCATCATATTTAAGAGGTGCCACGAATCTCCATAGCTGATACTTCCAAGCCAGGATAACTCGGAGCAAAACAATAGATAAATAAAAAACACTACAAACAAAAGAAAAAAATTGGTGCTTGTTTAATTTTTGGAGTGGACCGTCCCTCGAAATGTTTAGGTTCACGTTTTTTTTGTATATATCTTCAAACAATATTCAATCAACGATATTACTCAACGCACACTATGTCCAGGAGCAATCATCAGTGCAGACACAAACTGTTGAACTGAAGTGATTGTATGACATAAAACTTTTGTATGTTTGTCCAGTGTGGTACAGTAGGAGGTGCAGGATGGGAGTGGATGATTAGAAGGAGGCGTAACCTGATAGATTATTGTGTGTCCAACAACTTGCTTCCAGGCTGTTGACAGTGTGAATAATACATGACTGTATTTTAAGTGCATGTATCTTTATTGTGTGTGTCTGTGTTTGTCTTAGTTATAGTCTGTACAAATGTGACAGAGTTGTTAACTGGAAACATACAAGCTGCCCAAATGAATGTATGAAAACGTGTATGAGTTTTAGTTTTTTTAAGAATTGAGTTTGACACCGGCAGTTCTTGTACTGCAGGTGAAATTAACTTAGTGGGAATAAGCTGACCCAATGGAGGATCACATGACCTCGTCAGACTCAGCAGGTACCGGATGCACTTCAGTTGCCATGGTAAAGGACTCTGTAGGAGCTGATGTGGACCTGCGTGTGCTGTGTGATCGAGTGGAGGACTTGGAGCAGAGAGCGGTTTCAGCCATCCAGCCTGAGAGCTACCTGAGGAACAGGTGAGAGACTGGGTGAGAGGGGATCCAGTGACACACACATCTGCTACTGTACGCTCACTTTTGGCCAACATAATATCACGTATCACACACACCTGACTGCACTGCATGCAAGCTTGAGAGTGCACCTCTGAAAACTACTCACTGCATCTGCTGCCATGTTAGGAGATAAAACTGAATCTATTTTTTTAAAATCAGAGACAGTTTAACGTTTAAAAGCTCATTTATATGATATTATACGATGTTAAGATGACGTAATGCGATCTTGTTTTGCTATTTGATAAGGATCAGAGAGTTGGAGACGTCAGAGAGGAGCCTCCTGCTGCAGCTATATCAGCTAGCGTCTGCCTCTCAGTTCCCCAACATGCATCACTCCCAGAGGCTGGACCAGAGACTCCACATGCTCAGGGAGGAGGTCAGGACCATGGTGAGTGCTGTCTGAGAGATTCAGTGGGTCACTGATGTAGAAAATATAAAATACATTTACAGCTTTGAATATGCAAGTTTTAGAAGATGGGAGTAACATGTACTTCAGATATGAATGAGAGGCTTGTGCAGTTTACTGGGATAGACAAAATAATATCAGATTTTACCTATAAAAACAATGAATTCCCATTAAATGCAAAGTTTTAAAGGCTGGATTGTTAATAGTTTAACACTTTTACTGTTATAATATATTTTGCAAGTAGCACACTTTATATACTTTATACATACCTTGAGTAGTCACATAAATTCACTTACAGGCCATTTTTATGCATTTATTTGGCCAAAACAGATACATACTACATGACTCAGCCACTGTTATATACTGTTTTTTTTTACCTACAGATTCAAAAGAGTCAAAAAAGTGTAGAGGTTATTGTCTTAGGTCCCAAGATTCATTCATTTTGTCTATACCAAACATTTGCACTGAATTTGGAAAAAGAGCATTCAAATTTGCAGCTCCTATTAGACGGTTACTATCACTAAGGTATTCATTTTTATTGACACTGAAGTTTATAATTTTTGGTTGCGTCTGTGTTTTATTTCTATTGCCTGTCTGGTGTATGAAGTGTATGATTGTACTGCTCTCTTTTGTGGCCAGGACATTCTTGTAAACGAGATTTCTATTCTTTTCCTGGTCAAATAAAGGTTAAATTAAAAAAGCAACAACAACAACATGCTAGTGTGATAGTGAGCATAGAGGTTTTTTTATCATCTTTGTTGAGATTACATTACTTTATCTTTTAGGTATCTTTAAGAAGTTTGAATGATGGAAACTTATTTAAAGTAGTTAGTTTGCCACTGTACAGTAAAACAAATACAGCTGATGATATATGTCTTATAGATATCATATGCAGCTAAGACTGTTACTACTACAAATACTAGCACACAAACTAGTTCAGCTCAGGCATGTAGAACATGTTATCAAGCAAGATTCTGTTCTCTGTCTCTCTCAGACTCAGGAGAAGGAGCGAGAGGAGCGAGTGTGGAGGGAGCGACTGCAGCGTTGTCAGAGGCAACTGAAGGCCAAAGAGGGAGAGATGAGTCGACAGGCCCAGTATTTTGAAAACTTTAAAACCCAACTCCAACACAAGCTCAGCCTGGCCTGGGAGAGAGAGCAGAGCCTGCAGAATCGCATCTACACTTTAGAAAAGCAGCTACTTGACATGACTGTGAGTGCCGCCACTGGTATGACAACTATCAGAGCAGTCCGAATCACTGGTGGTACTGTGCAGTGCTTGGAAGAACAAGACAGGCTATCTTCCATGAGGGGAGAGGGCGAAGGAGAAGAGGAGACCAAGGAAGAGAGGCGAAAGAAATGGCAGCCAAGTGTTGGAACTGAGAAAGAAGAAAGGCGAAAGGGCGATAAGGGAAAAGCAGAGAACAGCATAGGAGGAGGAAGAAACAGTGACACAAAACAGTCCTCGAACGAGGCAAGGTTACAAGGATTCATTGTCAGCCTGCAGGAGGATCTCAGAGTACTGCTGGAGAGAGAGGAGGAGAGGATGACTGAGAGGAAGAGACTAATGGAGCAGCTCCAGGAGGCCCAGGAGAGCAACCACTTCCTCAGCTGCAGCGTGGATGAGATGAAGTCAGAGATCCATCAGCTGAAACTATCTGAGAACTCGCTATTGGAGGAGCTTGAACACCTGAGAGAGGAGAACCTAAGACTGCAGCAGGTCCTCAGGGATTCGGCTAACCACATACCAAGCCAATCATCCGCATGCCTGGGTCCTGAGACCAGCACACCCAACTCCAGTCTGGCTGTTAATTCTGGGACTGCCAACATTTTCTCATATTCCACTGCCACGGGACAGCCATCAGTGGCTTGCTCAGGAGAGGTTTGTAGGATCCAATTAATATTCCATCCATCCATCCATTTGCTTCCGCTTCTCCTTTTCAGGGTCGCGGGGGGCGCTGGAGCCTATCCCAGCTGTCATAGGGCGGGAGGCGGGGTACTATTAATATTAATATTTAATATTATTAATATTATATGAATGTTTTATCTATCTATCTATCTATCTATCTATCTATCTATCTATCTATCTATCTATCTATCTATCTATCTATCTATCTATCTATCTATCTATCTATCTATCTATCTATCTATCTATCTATCTATCTATCTATCTAATATCTATCTATCTATCTATCTATCTATCTATCTATCTATCTATCTATCTATCTATCTATCTATCTATCTATCTATCTATCTATGTTATCTATCTATCTATCTATCTATTATTATCTATCTATCTATCTATCTATCTATCTATCTATCTATCTATCTATCTATCTATCTATCTATCTATCTATCTATCTATTCTGTTTGTATCTATCTATCTATCTATCTATCTATCTATCTATCTATCTATCTATCTATCTATCTATCTATCTATCTATCTATCTATCTATCTATCTATCTATCTATCTATCTATCTATCTGATCTATCTATCTATCTATCTTATCTATCTATCTATCTATCTATCTATCTATCTATCTATCTATTATCTATCTATCTATCTATCTATCTATCTATCTATCTATCTATCTATCTATCTATCTATCTATCTATCTATCTATCTATCTCTATACTATATATCTATCTATCTATCTATCTATATCTATCTATCTATTATCTATCTATCTATCTATCTATCTATCTATCTATCTATTATTATCTATCTATCTATCTATCTATTATATCTATCTACTATCTATCTATCTATCTATCTATCTATCTATCTATCTATCTATCTATCTATCTATCTATCTATCTATCTATCTATCTATCTATCTATCTATCTATCTATCTATCTATCTATCTATCTATCTATTATAATATACTACTATAATAATAACTTAATTAGGTAGTCTGACTGTGCTCTCTGAAAATAAAGCTTGATTACAGCAGGAGAAGTTCCATATTTCAAGTTCCTTTAAAGTTTTAAGTACAAAGTACAATAAGAGAGTCCTCCCGAGTATTTACTTCTGGGACATCAGGAGTTCAGGACACTACTGATATCTAAATATCAGAACATATACGACTTACTGATGCCGGTTTGGAGACAAACTGCTGTTTTTAATGTATTCACTTATTATCACCTATTTGTGAACTTAGGCTACCAGTGTTAATTGTTAATTAATTAAAATGTTTTGCAGTGTGAAAATTATTATTATTATCAGTATTTCCCATAGTTGAAGGAAGCATAGGAACTTTACAATTCTTTGTTATAAGAATTGTTGTTATTCTATCGACTTTGTCAAATATTTTAAAATTGTGATTTTTGTGCAGGTGCAGCCTTATTCATCAGAGGTTCCACTTGTTCACCACCAGGCGACAGCAGAGAGCACACAGAGCAGCACAGAGCATTATTCCTCAGCAGTTAAATCAAAAATGCCAACTAAAAGTCATCCCGTAAACCTGTTTCACTACGGGTCTGAATCCAGTGCCAACTTCAAGTCACTTTCCTTGACTACAGAATCAATATATGAGTTTAAACTTGGAAGCTGGTGCTCTGAAGGGAACTTCAACGTAGAAGAGAGCCCCAGTGAGGAATCTGATGCCCTGAGGGAAGCTTACAGGAGCTTGGGGTTAGATAGAGATCTTAAAGCTCTTCAGGAGCAACGTGACAACCTGAAGGTTGCTCTGCAACACACACAGAGTCAGCTAAAGGAGATAGCTGAGGAAAATGCTCAGCTGAAGTTACAACTCAGGAAGCAAGCAGAGGAACTAGAGGCAGAGACTGAGCAGAGGTCTTCAACAGAAAAGGTATTTTACACGTGGTTTAGTAGTCTTATCATTTTTATTTTCCACCAAAGACATCCAGTATATCACTGATCAAACTCTGTATCTCTGTACAGATTAACACACCCTCTACTTATGGTGGGAATGATCAACCCAGGTCATCTCCTACCCAAGATGGCAACATTCTTGCTCTTGCCCAGGATGATCTTATCCAAAGCCTGAATCAGGAAAACGGGGCATTGGCAGAGAGGATCCAGGAGCTTTTGGCTCACATTGAGCGCAAAGAGGATGACATCACAAAGCAGCAAACCCAACTGATGGAGCGTATCTCCCAGCTAGAAGAGGATCAGGTCAGGCTGGAGCAGGAGAACCGGGAACAGGGGTGTTTGATCTCAGAACTCACCAAGAAGACTGAGGATGATCTGAACACCATCATGGATCTGCAGCAGAAGTTAGTCCAAGGAGAAGAAGCTTCACATTTGATGTTCAATCAAGAAACTGACTCTACACAAACAGGATCAGTATCTGGTAGTCAGCATAATAATCTCTGTGACTTACTAAAAAGCAGCTCACAAAAAAATCATCTTCATCTTGATTCACAAAAAGATGAAGCAGCCCAGCTGACCAATTCAGTCCAGAACCTCAAAACAGACCAAGAAGAATTGACTAAATCCATAAATTCACTCAGAGAGCAGCAAAGAGAAGTAGCTCTGTCAGTCCAAGTACAGACAGAAGAGAAACAGCAATTAACTCGGACAGTATGGGGACTGAAGGAGGAAAAAGACCACATCTCTAAAGCTCTGGCTGACCTTAAACAAGAGAAAGAGCAGCTGAGCAGGGCAGTCTGTGGGCTGAGAGATGAAAGAGAACACTTTAAAAGGTCCATAAACGGCCAAAAAGAGGAGAAAGAGCAGCTAACCAAGTCTTTATCTGCACTTGAAAGAGATAAAGGGGCAATATTAGAATTTCTCTCAAGTGGAAAAGAAGAGCGAGAGGAAATAATGAAGTCACTGCAGAGTTTACAGACAGAAAGCGACCAGTTAAGCCAGACAGTGCTGTATCTGAAACAAGAGAGAGACAAACTAACCGATTCTCTTAAGTGTCTGAAGGAAAAGAGAGACCAGGAGCAAATATCTCACAGTTTAAAGGAAGAACACGACAGGTTGATGAAGTCAGTAAGCAGCTTGGAGGAAGAAAAAAGAAGAACTGAATATTCAGTCCGTTGTTTGAAACAAGCAGAAGAGCAGATAATGCAGGTAATTCAAGACCTTAAGGAGGAAAGAGACAGCCTACAAGGTCTCAGCATCCAAAAACAAACAGAGGAGAGGAATCAAAAGCAGCAGATGTTGAACTCAAGCAGCGCTGGTTTGACGAAGAAGAGTGAGATTCCTGCTGAGACTGCAGATTATGCTACACAAAGATGCCAGACTAATAACCGTGGTGGAAACTTAATACAGGTAGTGAGAATGGAGTGCATTTGTGCATGATGTCAGGGCCTGTTGTGTCAGTTTACAGAATATCCTTTCAGCATCATGGCTTTTCAGCGTGATTTTTGAGGCATCAAATTTTTTGATTTATAGCAGGAAGAAAATGATCTGATGAGAGAGATTGAAACTTTGGGAGCAGAGCTAAAGAGGTCACGGGAGGAAATGGACAAGAGCCGTGCAGAGGTGGGTTTAAGCGAGTTTGTTATTAGTTTAGAAAAATTGTATTATGCAGATTTTTTTCATCCTTCTTGTCATCATATTATTTTCTTAGAGAGCCATAATATATGTTTCAAAACCACACTTTCCTCATTTTGTATATATCTTCAGATCAAGAGGCTTCAGGGTGAACTGCGTCATTCAGAAACGAGGAGGGAGGAGGTGGAGAGAAAGGCGAGCCAAGCAGCTGAAAACGCGATGAAGCTCACAGATGTTGAAAATCAGATGGAAGAAATCAAGAAGGAAAATTACAACCTCACAACCCAGGTATTCAACTAGATTTACAGATACAGTCAAAATGATACCAGCCCCTAAATCTGCAACATGTTCTACATGTTAAAAAAGTGCAAAACTTATATAATTAGTGTAAGAAGATTTGATTTTCGAACATAACTGGTTGAGTCTCCAAGGACATTTCAAGATTGGTTGACTGGATTGTTGGAAAACGTATTGATCACAGGGCTTTAATTTTACGCGCTTCAATAGAAAAACAAAATGCCAGTAACAGTGAAGTTTACCAGTTCCTGCAGCCACAAAGCATCTCCACAACAGGAGCGGCTTACTTTATACTTCTTAAAACAGGCACACTAGACTTAATTTTTAAGAAATAGAGTTTAATCACACCATAAAGAAAAAACCCCAGAGCTTTAAAATCCTATTTACATTTTGTCTTGCACATTCGAGTCGACTTTTATGTTATTTTTGGTTTAGATTGGAGTGTGCTGAAGTTTCCAAAGTTTACACCTTTGCCTTTCAAGTCTACTCATTTATAGTCTTTGATGATACTTTTATTCTCGCCTCCTTCTAGCCCTTCTTCTAAGTCCTTCACAGAAATAGTCGTTTTTCTCACCTGCTGTTTTCAAACATCCCTTCAAAGAAAAGCTGTTCTTTCTTTTGCACCTTTTTCCAAGTGTGTGTCTTTGCCTCGAACTCTGTCCCTCCTCTTTGTTACTCATCTTAAACCCACACATGCAACAATTATATTTGCTTCACAGTTGAATCAAATATAGTTGTATTAGAGTTCCCAGAAACTTAATTGGGTTTCACCATCAATTGGTGAAATGATTAAAAAGCAGAGTTCAGGTACTGCAGGTGTTGAATAATTTAGACGTGGCTGTACTACATGAAAATCCATCAAGAATTTTAATCATTCAGTGTGTTTTTTGTCTCTGAGGCCTTTCAGCTAATTTTGTACACAAAGTTTAAGCGTTAGACCTAAAGAGCAGCTGTCTCTGCAGGTGAAGGAGCTGCAGAACAAACTGACAGGCCTGCTCCGGGAGAAGACTGACATGTTGTCACTCAAGGCTCAAACAGAGGAGCGATATAACATCCTCACAGCTCAGCTCAAAGCCAAGGTAAGAATGCCAAAATGCCTTTGTTATTTGGATTCTTATACATCATAAAATACTTCTAAGTGGCCGTATGTGTTGAACAAATTAGCGTTAAACTTAAATCATTATCATGATGCTGATATGTTGCACTAGACTGTAATACACTGACACATTCTAATTCTTGGCTGGAGACAGTTTTACTCATAAGTCGTCTGTGTGTGTGTTGATGTGATGTGTGTGTGTAAAACCCCACAGACTGTTGCTCTAGAGGAGCTGAACTCGGAGTATATAGCTCTGAAAAGAGGACAAGGCAGCAGGGATGACGTTAATACTGTTCTTGTCTCACTCAGGGCACGTTACAATGACATCAGAGCTAAGGTGGGTCAGCTGTAGTTTTGCATCTAAGTTTAAGTAATAAACTGTTCTCTCTTTATACTTAATGAACAATTGTCATGTTTAAAATTTTACTTATTTGTAGTATGATGCACTGCTGAAAAGGAAAAGCCAGACAGACTTGGATATACCACCTTTAAAGGTGAGGAAATAAAGACTAGATTTATGTTCAGGTTCTGCTCAACAGATTTTAGTGGTTCGTTCTGACTGTCAGGTATTTTGTCCAATAACAGGCCAAGCTGTCTTGCCTAGTGGTGAAGTGTCAGGAGAGGAACAGCTTATTAGATCAGATGATGAAGATCTTGCAGAGACAAGGCTGTATGAACCCCTACCTCACACAGCAGGTCGAGCATCTGCTCAGCGATGCCGCTCTGCAGGAGTACACTGCAGCATTCACACTGGAAAATAACACAAAGACCTGGGATTACGCTAGTGGGTTTACTCCTGAATTTAGTTCAAAATATAAAAGCTGCACCAGTAAATTCATAACTGATCGGACCTGCCCCGTTGTATCCACCTCTGTAAAAAAGCATCAACAAACTGGAGTCACACCTGAAGCTGGAGTAGAGGGCAGAGGGAAAGAAATTTCCATAGTTTCCACCGAATCTTCAGGAAATCATCAAGACTGCGGTAGTGAATTCACACCTGTACTCACAGGATCGCTAAAGAAAGACGCCAACTCATCCGTGCCATCCTCACCAGTGCAAGAGCAAGCCACCGTCCAGGCGTCAGCGTCACCTGCTCTTCCACCAAATGAGCGAGAAATCACTGATACAGTGCCAGTGAGGCAATGCAAATAAATATAATTAATAAAAGCTTATTTTAAAACCTTAATTTGTAATATTTTTTATAAAAAAATAACATAGCCTCAGTTCCAGATTTCTGTGTTATGTTATTTATTGTATGTTTTCTGCCAGGCCTGCATTTATTCTCACTTCACTCCTTTACAGAAAAGTGTGTCTGTCTTATGTTTTTACAGTGAAAGATAATTTTTATAGAGCAAAAACTCTCTGAAATATTCTTTGTTAGGGAACGCTAACATGACCTCAGTGTGCCAGTGCTTAAATTATCAAACAAAGACTGTACTTTACATTAGAAATGTTGGACTCAGTGAAAGTCTAAGACAGTCTATTCTCGATCCAGGCACAGCTGTCTCCTTCTGCCGGTGGACCGCCCCAAGCAGCCAGTCAACCAGAGAAATTAGTGTTTCATCATCCGGAGATAAAGAAAGAGAAGTCCTCCCTTTGTGCCACCAGTGTGACTGGATACTTGTTGAGTCCTACCATTCCCTCCTCTGTCTCCTTTGCCAGTCCAAAGAGGAGGTTGAGTAGTCCTGAGAAGATCCTTAACCTCCACGAACAGCTACAGAAGACCCTGAGGAGCAGCTTTGAGGTACACTTAGGAGTTTTCTAACATAGAGTAACAAAAATATAGGTTAGTGCTGAATTATACAGAAAGGTTGCTATAGATTTTTGCTTTTTTCTGATATGAAATAAAAGCCACTCTAATCTACAATTTGTCCTTTGAAGTTTCACTGACTTAGAAGTTATTTCCACGTAAAGTAAGGTAGGTCAAATCCAATCAGATCTTATATATCTAATGAATTCTAATATCTGTCTCCATCCCAAGGCTCCAAAGAGCAGAGGAAGAGGACAGGACCCCAGGAGGAGTCCATCACTGTCAGCTCCTGCAGACCTGAACAAAGCCTCTCAGACTAAGACGCTGAGCTTGAGTTTCAATAATGCACAGATCAACTCTCTCACAGTCACCACAGCTATGAGCCAAGCTCCACACACTCCAGTAGTAACAACTAAACCAGTTGCCGCTAACAAGTCACCAACACTTTTTGAAGCAGTTGCATCTAGATCAGTTAATGCAACCTTCAGTCCCAGCATCTTTACTAACCATCACCTTAAAGGGGACACATCTGCTCTTTCTAGCTCTTCTAACTTTACTCTTTTCACCCCGGCTGCAAATAATTTCAAATCCATTTTAAGTAATGGCACTAATGAAACATTATCCTCAAAAATTACAAAGAAAATCACTGCAATCCCTGATGTATCCTATGCCGCGCATAAAGCTTCTCTACAGAGGGTTGCTACTTTTGACTCTGCTGTTACTAATCCAAAAGCCACTTCCTCAGATCCAACTGCCTCTCAAATATCAACTGCCCCTGAAGTTACAACTTTCAACATGACTTCTAAAATGGATGGTGCTATCCCTGAAGTTTCTCAGTCCAGTCAGCTGTCTCACTGCTCTCCTGAGAGATCGAACAAGTTTGCCACAACATTCACCGCTCGTTTAGGAAAAAGACCAAAGCCAGGTACTGTTCATACCACTTGGTTTAGTAAACTAATAGTAAATTCTGGATATATTAAGTCCTGCTATCTGTGTTTGTTTTGATGTGGTTTAGTAATAACTAGGGAATAATAAAAGCAGCAGAGAGCATAACTGTACTTGACTTTTCTGTGTCCAATCCCCTCCAGAAGCTCCAGCCGAGGTTCGTTCCATTGAAGTCATCAAAACAGTGGGTCAGAGCAACCTTATGATTGGCTGGGAGAGACCACCACTCGATGAGCTGGGATGCAGTAATGGCACGTTTGTGTATGGCTACAGGGTAGGTAAACAATACATAGGATTATCTTCGTTTGTATGTGTTTTTCTTGTACTCATTATGTCTTGTTATCTCTCAGGTGTATGTTGATGGGGACTTTCACAAATCTGTCATGAGCTCAGCATGCACCAAGGTATCCACAGCTGTACAAAATCCATCCTGTCATAATAAATAAGTAAATCAAAGTATGAATGAAAGCAGGGCACACAAAGTAAGCCTTGTTTCTGTCTGTGCAGTGTATTCTTGAAAATATCGACCTGAGTGTCCCTGTCCACATCAGTGTGCAGACACTGGGATCTAATGGACTTAGTTCAGATAGTGTACACACCGTGTTTCGGACCTCAGTTAGAACTGAGCCACAGTGAAGCCACAGTGAAGCCACAGAGACGCTCAGATCAGCAGGTTGGTCCAAAGATTATTATACCAGTTTTCACCAGGTTTGCATATTAATATGTATATTATTATATTTTTTTGAATCTCTGTAGAAATACTGCAGATTCCCAGTGAGTTTGTGCCATTAGTGATTGTTTTATGCACTATAGCTGCATTTGTAACATAATTATGTACACTGCTAAAAAAAAAATGAAAGCAAATCACTTTGAAAACACACTAGATCCTAATGATCTGGACCACGTCCGGTGTTCTACTGGATGCTGGTCAGGTGAGCATGGGAAAGTCAGTGGTATCAGTTCCTTCATCCTCTAGGAACTACTCGTATACTTCCACCACACGAGACATGATTGTGCACCAGGGGAACCCAGGACCAACTGCACAAGCGTAGGATATGACAATAGGTCCAAAGATTTCATCCTGATATGGAATCGCAGTCAGGATGCTGTTGCTTAGCCTTTAGATGTGTGTGCGTCCCTCCCCAGATATGGCTCCCCAGACCATCACTGACCACAGCTTAATGCAATACTCAAAAACAGTCAGAAAAGATGAGGGAAAAACGTCAGTGACCTCAACCTATAAAACCATTCCTGTTTTGGATGCTGCCTCATTGTTGTGCCTCTAGTGCACCAGCTGAAACTGATTAACAGCCCCACTGCTACTTAACTGACTAGAAATTTAATTTGACTTGATGATACACTCTAATAAAAAAGTGTTCCTTTAATTTTTTTTGAGCAGTGTATATACATATTTCATTTTATCGTGTTACAGCGTTCACATTTGAAGAACAACAAAATTCAATTAAAAGTATTTTCTCCTGTGTCCTGCGTGTTGCCGCAATATACCACTAAAAAGACTGTACTGTGATAATCTAATTTCTTTCTGTCCTGCGTGTCCTGCGTGTGTGTGTGTGTCTGTCCTTCAGCACAGAAACATCTATATCTGCAGGCCTCTGAGGGAGCGCCCTCACCTCCGCCTCGACTGAGACACAGTCACACTGCTGGATAACCGCTCCACGTCAGGCTCAGGTCAACCAATCAGAAAAAACTCCTCTCACACGGTTATTGCCAGCCTATGATCATGCGGTGACCTGTGGTCGGCCACTAAACCTCGAAATGATGAACTAAAGATGTCATACAAAATACTGTGTAAGATCCTTGCCTCGGCTCTCAGAGTTAATGTGCATGTAAAAGCAGGTCGATCCTCGTTGGAGGACCTTTCTGTTTTACAGTCTCATCTGCTGGACTTCTTAAACGAGCGAGACGTTGTGCTTGCCGGTCCACACGATTGCCAGTTTTCTCATGAAAAACTGCTAAGTGCAAATGTTTATGAAGCCAAGCTGAATCATACTGTAAAACGCTGCCTGTGACACCAACATGTACTAACACTGGTCAAACAAGACATAAAAATGACAAAGGGATGTCTGCTTCTGCTGCACTTTTACACTGTGTTAAACACAGGGAGATAACGTGTCACACTGCTTGTCATATTACTGTCTCTGTGGACTGTGGACCTGAGCAGCTGCCTAAAGGGACGTGAAGTATTTGAAAAGCCTTTTTGACAGCAACACACACTGTAAAATGTGCTGACACAACCTTGTACACAAAGTTCACAGTACTTGATTTTTACACACGAAGCCAAATATTTGAAAAGATGTTTCACTCCAAAGACTTCTCTGTTTCCTTCTCCTCATAGGTCTACAGGACTTCTTTAATCACAGACGGCAGATGTTGTTTAAGTTTGAAAAATTTGCACACAATCAGTATTGAAATCTAGAAGAAGAAATTTTAAAGAAGAGATTATCACTGATATTTTTTTGTAGAGATTATAAAAAAATATGCCAATATACCACACACTGTATGTCTTTTTGTATGAGTGACACTTTCATACCTAATAGATGTCATGTTTGCACGCTTGCATTATTTTATTTTTTTTAAATTATAACACGCTATGTTCTTTTTACTATTAACTGTATGTACGGGTGCAGAGTGATCATGGTGCAGCAAAGGTATTTTTCTATCAGTAATTGATAATATTGTTTTCCCATTGATTCCTTACAGCTGTGCAGAGAATAAATGTTTATATGCAGTCTATCTTTACTCTCTGTCTGTCTGTGCATGTGCAGTTTTGGTTTTAGAATTCAAAAGGTATGACACATCTCTGAATTAAGCAATTTCCAGTTTCTCTGTGGTAAATTGAAGTCTTTAACGCTCCCTTAGTGGCTGGCAGTTAAATTAAATAAGCCATTAAAAAACCTACTGGATTAATACAAGAGATATTTTGGAGCTATGTGATTATTCCAGAACAGCAAGCTTCACTGATCGGGTGTGCAGTAATCTTTCCACGCAGTCAACACTAGATGGCAGGCACTGAAACCATCATTGTGTTGGCTAAGGTGCTCTTACTCTGTGATTGTGTGTATAAATCTGACACCTTTCACCAGAGGTTTAATGGAGTGGATGATGCTGATGTGCACACAGAGAAAGGCTGAAGTTGCCTGACACATCTCACCGCTTTCCTTGTTCATTACAATCCAGGCACAACACCAAAAAGCGAAGAAGCATTTAGGGGCAGCAAGGTGCCAAATATTCACCTGCTGTAGTCGGCAGATTTGGAAGCTCCTCTGAGAATGTCATCGCTCATGCTCAGCAGAAATAGTGCTAGGTGAAGGGAGGTGGGGGGACTGTGTCTTTGTTTGCACTGAGTGAATGGAGCAGTGACTTAAAAAACATTTCTACCTAGGGTAAGTTTAAAACTTGTGTTTTTATATTTATTTCACCTTTTAGGTCATACTTCTTTTTATTAATTTCACACGCTCATTTTTAATTTCCCTGTTGGGAAATGGGTCTATCCTTACTTTGAGGTAAATCACATAATTTGAGGGCAGACTATGATCAGCTGGCTTTCATTGTTGATTAAGCCAACTGCATTTTATATCATCCTCATCCAGTGTAATACTAGAAACCAAAGAGCATATTTAACTTACAGTCTTTAAGTTATAGTCTTTAACCTAACAATGCAGCAAGCATGGACAACACAGTCTGCTCCGTGCCAGTCTAAATTAGTACAACACTGAAATACTTTTCCATAATACTGCAAGCTATTCCTGCTCAAATAAAACCTTTGAATAACTCGATATCATTCACTGAAGAAGGCATTTCTAGACATCGTTGAATGTTCTTCTCCATGTACTCCAGCTTCCTCCCAAAGACGTGCTTTTTAGATTAACTGGTGCTTTTGAATTGGCTGTAGGTGTGAATGGTTGTCTGTTTCTCGCAGTTAGCCCTGTAATTGAATGTTGACCTGTCCAGAGAGTCCTTCCACCCACCCTGAATTAAATAAGCAGTTAGGAAGATGAATGGAAAGCACATTTTAGGAATTTCTTGAAATGTGATAACCTTGTTGAGGCAATTTTCAGTTTTCTTTAAGAAGTAGGAATGTTAGTTACAGACCTAAACGTTTTAGATATTGATATGTTTCGTATGAAACCTAATTTTTTTTTAATTGCTTATCAAACTTGGGAGGGTGTGGATGGTTTTGGGGGGTGGTTGCTTCCTGCCCAAGCTATCACAGAGTGCAGGGCCAGGTACACAGGTGTGGTGTATGAACAATATAACAATAATGAGTAATTATAGCACAATAAAACTTAGATAATTTGAAAGTGGTGAGTGGAAATGCAATTGGGGCTTGTGTACAGTTTAAGTTTGCAGAACGCAAGAAGGTTTTGTTTCCATGCATAAAAACAGAATTCATATCATTCAGCTGATATCATTTTTCTTCAGAGAATACTAGGGGGCGTATTTTCTGTATTGCATGTTAGTCCCATTGCAGTTGCCTCCTAGATGGCTGGTTTTGACTCAACTCCTAGACAAATGTGGTCTCCTGAAGTCCTGCAGTGCACCAACTAAAGGAGCTTAAATGGAAACTGCATTGCAGATACTTTTACACAACTTGCCTTTAAATTAAAGAAGCTGGGCTGGACCCACAGGGCTGCCCATACCCTCTCCAGGGAGACTCACCTTAATTATTAATACATTCTCCAACATACATGATGCAAAGGCTCAGAGTAGTGGCGTGGGCCTATGGTCGTATTTACGTGAGATCTCTGTTGATCCATTCTTAACGAAGCCCACCTCAGCACTGACTCTTCCCATGGAGGCCAACATGGGGTTTACAGAGATGGAATGGTGGAGAGAGATGGATGAAGAAAGAGGAACTACAGATTAAAAAGTGTGAATGCACAACTTGTCTCAGGGGTGCCAATATCAGAGACAACTGGGCTCAAGAATATTCTGTAGTGATGCTTAAAGACACATCTGGAGCTTTCTCTGTGTATTTGTGTGTGTGTGTGTGTGTGTGTCAGAGTGTGAGAGAGAGCGCTCTGCAGGGGATATTTCCTTTTTGCAGGACTGTGTCTGTACATAAGTGTGTCCTAAGCTGTGCATGTGTATGTGCTGTGATCCTGACAAGCAGTTGTCATCAGCAGAATGTCTTGAGGGGGGTTTCTTGGAAATGGAGCCAAAGAAAAGAAAGAGGAGAGGAGGGATGGTGTGTTGAGGTTGTAATTTCACCCAGAGGGGACGTTGTCACTCCATAACTGCCACTGACACCCTGAGTGTCCGGGGCAAAGTGTGGGGTGGTGGTTTGGAGTCAACTTCCAGACCTCCAGGGCAGCATTTGCTGCTCACACCCAAAGACGAGCTCTAAAAGCAGGGTTTCTTCTGTTGCTGTGTCAGGGCAGATGGGTCTTGACGCTTAAGGTTGTTTAGTCGAGTTGCCGTGCGGCAGCAAACATGGATGCGATATCATCCCTGTTAAATGGGTATGCCAATGCAGGCATGTGGGTTGGCAACACTGGAACTTGCTTGGATATTGTCATATTATGCAAACACACTTACGTATTCTAAAAGTGTCATCACACAAAATCGCACACTGCTAAGAGGTAATTCTTTGCGGACACACGTACGTGGCGTTTTGCATCCCATTTCTCTTCAGTCATGGGTTGAAAACCCTGCTTTATTTTCTGTTGTGTCTGTTGTTGTTGCCCTATCAGTCCATCTCACAGCCCGGTATATTTAGAGGCAAAGCACTATCAGAGCTTACAGCTGGCCGCCTCTGATTCAATTCTGACAGATCTACAGCGTTCAAAGCAATCTCCTCTCTTTTTGTCTCACTCATTTTTCAGCCCATCTCCACCTCCTCTTGCTGTCTCATCTCCCTCATAGTCCCATGTTTTTCCTCCTTTCTTTTCACTTCACTGCTTCCATCTCTTATATTTCTTCTCTTTCTTTTAGCTTTTTCCATTATGTCATTTGCATACCTGTGGGCACTCTCAGATCTGTTTACTGATTTTCTTTATGCATCTCTATTTCTTCCCAGCTGCTTGCAAACCATTTTCATTTTCTAGTCACATCTTTACCATTTTCTCAAATAAGCAGTATATTACTACCCTGGTGTCTTTTCTTCAGCATTTGGTCCCTTTCTGAGTTCATTTTGAGGTGCTTTATTGCCGCCGTGGATCATGAAACTCTGACTTCAAGCCAGATTTTTCTCTCCTCGCCTCTCTCTCTACTTCCCTTTCAATTTTCTCCATTTCTTTATCATCCACAGTGCCTATCAGGTATGTTTTCTCTCCTAGGCAAAGAAATGAGAGCTCCATCACTTTGAGTGAATCCATGTTGAAACAAACATCAAACAAGGCAACTTCTAATTTGGGAAGAGACAAGCAATTAGCTGCTATTACATCCTTGAATCTGTGCGCAAAGGCAACCCTAATCTCATTAATCATGAACAATGGGGGCGGTAATAGAGAAGCATGTTTATGCAAATTCTCCAACACAGTAATCTCCTTCATGCTTAATAGCCGAAACAGTGGTGATGCCTGAAAAAACAATCCCCCCCACCTCCTCCTCCTTCTCTGCTTAGCCTTTTTACCTGCTTTTATTCCTTCCACCCCTCCTCTTTCTTCCTTCTTTTTCTTTCTCTCTGCTCTCATGTCAGTTTTTCCATCCCACCCTCCACTGCTTTCAGAAAGTGTGAGCCAGAACATTTCGAAACTGAAGATAAGCATCGATCCCAGTCCTCTCAGACCCTTTCAGTTTGATAGCAAATAACCCTGAGATGGTACGGGACATTGAGTTTTACATCCCGCCTCCTACTAACACCTCCCCTCTTCCATCTCTTGGCAAAGTCCCCAGCTCATTCCACGTCGCCTTCATCAATTCTCCCTATTTCTTCTGTTTTTATTCCTTTCATTAGCATTTTTATTGTTTCATTGCTTGCCTTCTCCCCCCATAGGTGTCTGTTTGTATCTATTTCTTCATTTCTCCTCTCTTCACCCCCCCATCCCTTTGCTCTTATTGTTGTTTGTTCAGTATTTTACATTCCAGTCATTGATCCAGTAGCCATACATGATTTGGAGCCAAATATAGCCCAGAAAGACATTACAAGATTATCTCCCTGCCTCCTCTGTCTCTCCCATGTGCTCCTCTTTTTTTCCATCTTTTCCTCTCTGTTTTAGTCTTGTCATCTCTCTTGAGTTATGTGCCACATTCAGATAATGACGATGACAATGATAGCACAATGAAAAGTGTAGTAAGGATGAATCAGGGGCCATGGTAATGGTCAAAAGCATGTGATCCATAACAATTATTGTTAAGTACAAATGGATCGATTGATTAGCATGCTCACTGTCTGGCTGAAAACCTATTGATGAACTGTGATTGAGGTCAAAGGAATCAATAAAGTAAAAGCTTGTGTAAAGGCTGAGATATAAAACATCAAGATTAAACTTGCTTACATTTTAAATGAGGTGGATTTATATATACACACACCCACACACACATATGTTTTGTTTTTAAATTCAGGAATTTTATATGCAGAGTATTTTTAGATACTGACGTTACCACTTTTTAGGCAGGTCAGAGTACGACATCATTTTTTTGACTTTTTGCCAGATACTTCTGTTTCCTCCTCCACTCCGGAGACATTCACAGAAGTTAATTTTGATTCTAAATGGGCTGAAGGTGTAGATGTGAATGGTTTACTGTCTCTCTGCGTCTACTGTGCATCATTTCTCTCAACCCATT